CCCCTCACCCCACCACACACACACACACGCACCGCACTGCACGCTGGGAACGCAGGGGGCGGGATTCCCCGCCATGGCTCCCGCCTTCCCTCCAAAGCCAATCCTTCGTAGAATGGAGGTAACTGACAGAAGAACGAAGCCAATGAGCGGAAAAGGAAATAGGCGGCTTTCCCGCCTGTCCAATGAAAAACGAAGGCGGGAGGACCCGCAGCTTAAGTGTCAGGAGGTTTCCCCAATGGCTACTTTCTTTCTCTTCGTGAAGCTTAGGGGTCGGGACGGGTAGTATAAGCTGAGCCAACCAGAGTGCAGCCATTGCTCAGCTTCGACATTTCCATTGGAGAAACGTGGAGGACGTCACATTCCCGTCGCTTGCGTTGTTCTCAACCAATCCAGGAGATCTACCTGGATGCCGTCTCGAGTCCCGCTCTCCGATTTAAGGATTTTAAGGGCGGGAGGCGAATGAGATTGACAGGGGAGTTCGCCACTCCGTTCAGGTTCAAAGCAGCACGCAGGGATCAAACTAAAGGGAAATGAGAACAGAGGGCCCCAAAGTGGATGATGATGATGATGACGATGACGATGATGATGATGACGATGACGATGATAATAATAATAATAATAATAATAATAATAATAATAATAATAATAATAATAATAAAAAATACATTCAATTCCTTTGATATTGCGCACGCTCTTCTCAAAACTGACAGAAAGGAATCAGGGTCTAAAGGCAGTTTCTCACGTGCCCAAGACGGAGCCCGTAGCGAGAAGACCGGGAAAAATAAAATGAAAATACGATTTCCGCCTTCTCTTTCTCGAAGCCACCTATCCATCTATTGGCTGAAAAGGCGCCGGGGGTGGGTGAATAATAATAATAATAATAAATTCAATTCCTTTGATATTGCGATTCCTTTGATATTGCGCACGCTCTTCTCAAAACTGACAGAAAGGAATCAGGGTCTAAAGGCAGTTTCTCACGTGCCCAAGACGGAGCCCGTAGCGAGAAGACCGGGAAAAATAAAATGAAAATACGATTTCCGCCTTCTCTTTCTCGAAGCCACCTATCCATCTATTGGCTGAAAAGGCGCCGGGGGTGGGTGGGGGTGAGTAAGTAAGGCTGCAGTATGTGATTGCCTTGCTGGTGAGCGGATGAGCCAATGAATGTTTTTATTCCTCATAGTCTCGGATTGCCTCCGCATTGATAGCTGGAGAGAGGGAGACCCGGAGGTGTTTAGAAGTGCTGAACAGATAGCTCAGTGGTTTAGTTCGGATCTCGAGATGGGGAGTTCGATTCCCGCAGCGGCTGGACAAGGAGCCAAAGGGTTATTTCCAGTTCAGCAGTTCTAAGATGAGGATGACGAGGAAGACTTGTGCTGTTGTTGGGCTACAATTCTCACCAGCCCCCCCCTCCAGCTGTTTGGGAAATTCTGGGGAATTGCATCCCAATCTACACAACCCTGAGCGCACCTCTTGGTAAAACCCACTCCCGCCCTCCGGTTCCTCGACTATATGGGGGGCGTCACCATCGGCTGGGGCTCGGGGGTCAGTGAAGTTCCCCATCGCTGGCGGGGGGGAAAGGAGAGGTGCCCATCGAAATCGGCGAGGAAGTCTCGGATTTCAGCGTGGGAACTGGCTCGGACTGTGGATGCCCTACTCAGCTCTTGTAAAGCAAAGCCTGTGGTTCCTTTAAGGAGTCAATCCATCTCATATATGATTTTCCTCTTTCCCTGCTGTCCTCTTATCGTTCCCAGTACAGTGGGGTCTTGACTTAAGAACCGCTCGAGTTAAGAACATTTTGACTTAAGAACCGCTCTCATAGGAAAATATTGACTTGACTTACATACTTAGATTTGAGTTAAGAACTGGAAAAAAACCACGTGGGAGGCAGGGAAAGTGCAAAATGTGAACTTTCAGTTAACTGTTGGCCAGTGAAAAGGGTGCCTGTCTGCTTCCTCACTCCTCCCAGCGTTTAGAGAGTGGATTGGGAGACAGTCTTCGGACTGCCTGGTACTGTTCTGCCTGGACTGTATTTTCCCTGCCTTCCCTGAACCTTTCTTGACCTAAGAAAAAAAGAAACAAAATATCCCCCTCTAGTGGTCGAAGGCAGAATAGCAGCTTCCCATTAGTTTCTATGGATGGAAAAGAGCAGATACGGATCAAATGGTTTTCAGTGCATTCCTATGGGAAATGCAGATTTGACCTGAGAACTTTTTGACTTGAGAACCGCCTTCCAATACGGATTAAGTTCTCAAGTCAAGACCCCACTGTATTATTGTCGTTTCCAGAGGATCCTGCTTTCCAATGAGGTGCCCAAAGTAGGAGAGACTCAGTTTCAATATTTTTCCCTCCAGAGGTAGTTCAGGCTTGATACAGTATAAGACTGATTTGTTCCCCTTTCTGGCAGTCCAGGGTATCCACAAAGCCCTCCTCCAACACCACCTGTGCTTAGCCTATTTTAAACATTTATTTGCTATTTATTTTGCCTCCCCTCCTCTTATATCTGCTTACCTTGATAACAACCTTTTGAGCAAGATCTGCCTTCTTTCTTGTAAGCCAAAGAACAGAGTACAAGTGGTTTAGATAAGTTAAGTATCCCAACAGCATCAGCCAAAATCAGTTCTCATTTAATACGACAACCAGCAGTAGGTTCAAAACCATTGATTGAGGCAGGAAGGGGAAACGAGGAGGTTCAGCACAAAATGTAGGGATTCTAGACAAGATCTCCAGCATTGTGCCCCAACTTGGTACCCTCCTGATGCATTGAACTAGAAACCCCATCCCAATGAGCTTACATGCCTAATTGCTGCCTTGTGTTTGTGTGTGTGTGTGTAATGATTGACAGTTGTAGTAACACATTTGAAGTGCACCAGGCTAAGGAAAGCTGTCCACATCGGCAACAACTGAAGGTCTGAGGCCCAGGTCCTTCTTCACTCTGCAACTTGAGATCTGTGTAACTTGCTATTCTAGAAACACTCTTGGATAAAGCTTGGAAAAGTTAATTTTTTGCAGTGCAGCTCCTAGAATCACCTAGCCCATGACCCTGCTGGTTGGGTAATTCTGGGAACGATAGTCCAGAAAAGTAATGCTTCCAAAGTTCTGGGACAGAACTGTGTTTAAAGCATGTCACGTGCAAAATTATCAGTACAGCATCTACACCATAAGTTCTTCAACAAAAGCCATGCTAATTAGAAGACCAGTGTAAGTGTGTTGTTGGGGTTTGTAGTTCAATGCAAGATCAGTGATGGTCCCATCGCATGGAAGTCTCTTAAATGTATGGGGAGAAACAGCCCTTAAATATCCATGTCTCTTTCCCCTGCCCACTAATATAGGTTATTATCTATAGCTGACCTATTTGTTCAAGGCTTGCAATTAACAAAAATAGATTGTGCTGAAAGTAACGGTAAAAGATATTTATTGGAAGGCAGAGGCCATTCTGAAGGAAGTCAACCCTGAGTGCTCACTGGAAGGACAGATCCGGAAGCTGAGGCTCCAATACTTTGGCCATCTCATGAGAAGAGAAGACTCCCTGGAAAAGACCCTGATGTTGGGAAAGTGTGAAGGCAAGAGGAGAAGGGATTGACAGAGGATGAGACGGCTGGACAGTGTCATCGAAGCGACCAACATGAATTTGAACAAACTCCAGGAGGCAGTGGAAAGCCAGGCGTGCTCTCGTCCATGGGGTCACAAAGAGTCGGATATGACTTAACAACTAAACAACAACAAATGGCCATTTACCAAAAAAAGAGATAATTTTATTTTGGAAGGGTTATATGGGGCATCCTAACCAATGGTTTGAAGGAAATGTCCCTATTGATTCCAGTGATGAGTGCACTAATTTTATGTTTATTGAGTTGTTGTAAGGCATGTGTGGTTTTGATGTTTTTCTTCTTGTTTTGCTTGTATAATGTTTAATTGTTAATGAAAAAATTGTTAAAGGATGTTCTAACTGTGTGACTATTTTCTTGCATCTGACCTCAAGTTAGATAGGAATGGTTACTGAAAATCAAGAGGGTGGTTTTGGATGAGATCTTGTACTCTATAGAGGGGACATGCTATCAGTGTGCACACATCCTGTACATCAATTTGCCTGAGAGTACAGCTTGATAAAGAGCTGGGAATATAACCCAAATCTATCTCCAACAAAATCTGACCCGGTAATATGGGAACATCGTTGATATTCTCATCTGGCACAGCATTGCTTCTTGAAGTGCCAAAAACCTCTGCAAGGGGTGTGGAAGTGTGATTCTCTTGCTATGTATGATATGAGGCTGCTTGTGATGAAGCACAGCAGAAGGGCTTCCTTCTTTTTTTCTGAAGACGGGTAATTTTGCATCTGAATGAGCTGAATGACTTCAGAAAAAAAGAGAGGTTACTTGCCTGTAACTCTGGTTCTTCGAGTGGTCATCTGTGAATTCACACCGATGGGTTAATCTGCACCTGCGCAGAGCAGCCTTGGAACTTTCCGGAGCTCAAGCACATGGTGCCGGAACCTCCCTCATGCTGCTATAACCCCGTTCCTGGTACCAAGTGCTTCAGTTTCTTAGAAACGTCTGCCGCTGCACAGCATGCAATAGCACACGGAATGGACAGCGGGGAGGAAGTGTGAATTCACAGATGACCACTCACAGAACCAGAGTTACAGCTAAGTAACCCCTTTTTCTTTTTTGTGGTCTCTGTGAATGCACACTAATGGGTGACTAGCAAGCTGACTTGGGACGTCATGAGAGCACAGAAGCCAGGACAGCATGACCCACTGCAACCTCAGACTTGGCCCGGACATTAAGGCGATAGTTGCACACGAAGGTGGATGGTGTGGCCCATGTGGCAGCTCTGCGCATGTCCGCTATGTTCACCCCTCGAAGAAATGCAGTTGAAGAAGCTACCGCTCTTGTTGAGTGAGCCTTAACTGTGTCTGGGAGAGGAGTTTGAGCCAGCTGGTAGGCAAGGCATATGGTGGCCACAATCCACCTGGAGATAGTTTGAGAGGTGGCTGGTGCCCCTTTAGAGGGGCCGTGGAAGGCTACAAAGATGTGCGGAAGGTGGTGGTATGATGAACATAGTAAGAGAGAGCCCGCTTAATGTCTAAGGAGTGTAATGCTCCCTCTAGAGGTGAGGCAGGTGCTGGGAAAAAGGTGGGCAGCACAATGGGCTGGCTCAAATGAAAATACAATGACACCTTGGGAAGGAAGGAGAGATCTGGGTATCTTTTCACCAATGATGTGGAAAGATTGTTATAAAATGATTAAGCCAGTAAATCTAAGAGAAAATATCCTCAAAATGTTTTACAGATGGCACTACACACCTGCAAAAATGGCAAAAATGTCAGAAGGTAGCAGCAATATCTGTTGGAAATGTAAAAAAAAAAAAAAGTAGGGACTTATTACCATATGTGGTGGACATGTGAAAAAGCCAGGGGTTATTGGTTACACTTGTGGGAAATAATAAAAGGAATCACTCAAAAGAAATTAAATTTCAAACCTGAATCAGAATGGAGAAAAGAATTTCTGTTAAAAAATGGAAAAGTGAAGACATACCTACAATGGAGGAGTTCCTGAAGAAGCTGTTGGACATTACAGAACTAGACACACTTTCAGAAGCACTATGAGAACAACCAAGAGACTATGCAAAACAAACTTGGAACTTAATATATGTTTGGGCCCAGGGACAGGTCTGAGGATAGGGAAAAATGATTGATGGGCTTTGTTTTTCCTTTTTCGCTTTCAATGCGCTCTGAAAACTTGGGAAATTTGGGATGCAATGAGGTCTGAATCTCTGTCCCCAAGGGGGGGAGGGTTTGGGGTGTGTTTTTCTTTTTTTCTCCTTCATTTTGTTTTCATTTCTTCTCTTTTTAATTTTTTAAATTTCATATTGTATATTTGTTTGTAGTTGATTAATTAAAAAAAAAAGAATAGTCCTTGGACGGCGAAGGAGGATGATTCTCCACAACATCCGATGCTGGCGTGGGAACATTAGGGGGTGAGTCACCCTCACCCCCCAACACCAGAGAGTCCGAGTCCAAGGTATCCTGGTCAATAGAAGGGGAATAGTGCCCTGTATCAGACGAAGGGCGATAAGTACCCACATCGATCTGGGTCCACGGAGTGCCCGCATCCCCCCCCAGCTGAAGGGCGTGAACACTCCGGACCTGGCTGTCCACTCTCCAGGTCCGACAACGGTCGAGACAGCTACTTAGCATCCCCAGCGGCAGCAAGGTCTAGAGGCAGATGCCTCTTGTGGGGCAGAGGTGGAAGCGGAGGATAGAAATCACTGTTAGCCCCTGTAGGGTAGTCGTCAAATTGCCGGTGCCAAGGGGGAGACGGAGAGAGAGAAGGCGAATAGGGTTGGTAATGTCGATACCGCTGGTACAGGTCGTAACTGTAGGCCCTTGAATAAAGCTGCAGATCAGGCAGAATCACAAGCCAGCATTGATGGATACCTGTAAGGCTTGGGCTCCACAGGCGGCTCCAAATGCCTGGCCTTGTGGGTCCTCTTTCGCGGCGCCTCCACTTGTATGGATTTCAGTGGCAAGATGGAAACCTGCCGCACAATCGAGCCCGGAG